AAAGTGAAATATTATGTAAAATTTGAGGACATAAAGATTTATATATTTTTTTTAAGATACAATTTACCATAATTGATTTATTCGTGATATTGACAATTTATAGGTTACCATAATTGATTTATTTGTGTGATATTTACATTTGATAATTTTACCATACGTGATTTATTTGATTGAATTTGACATTTGATATTTTACCATTTGATTTATTTGTGGGATATTGAAATTTGATACTCGTACTCAAGAGTTATTACATTTGAACAAGAAAAGTCCCGTTTGTTGCAACAGACCAGTAGAATTTTATATTTGGCGGGGATAAAAACAGAATAAATGCCAAACACAAGAAACAAGAGCAAAGAGAACAAAAAACAAGAAGATAAATCAGAACAGGAAGAATATTCAGACCAGGAAGACGTATTAGACACAACAGTAATGGAGACAGAAAAACAAGAATCGGGAATAGAAAAATTAATACAAATGATGCAACTCCAATCACAGAAGATGGATGAATCACAACAAAGAACGGAACAAAAATTGGATGAATCACAACAAAGAACGGAACAAAAATTGGACAAATTGGAAGAAAACCAAAGAAAAATGGAACAAAAAATGGAAACGCGTATGGACAAATATGAAAACGAAATAAAAGTCTGTTTAGAAAGAAGTAGGGAAGAAACAGAGAGGAAACTAGAATTGCAGAGAGAAGAAATCGAAACTAAAATGAAGGATATTCAGAGTATGCAAGAAAGGGAATTAGAACAGATAGAAATAAAATTTGAAAATGCGCTACAAGAAGACCGGAAAGAAACGGAAAGGAGATTTAAACAAATTGCAGAGATGGAGATAAGAGGAATAGAAAGAAAGGAAGTTATCGTACATAGCACAGAAGACGTAAAAGTACGATTTGGCGGGGATATAAGGAAACTACACCCAGTGCCTTTTATAAATAACCTAAAGGAAAAAGTCAAATACATAGGACCGTTTGCAACAGCAAAGGAAACCATCAGAAACCATCTCAAAGAAGAGGCAAATCTTTGGTTTGTCAGCAAGGAAGACGAATTTGACAATTGGCAAGATTTTGAGAGAAGATTCTTAAATTATTTCTGGGGAAAAATCCAGCAACTACAAGTAAATAAAGAGTTACAAAATGGAAAATACCATGAGAGGATGGGCGTATCAGAAACGATGTACGCATTACAACTCTATAATAATGCAAAACATTTGCAATATAATTATTCATCAGAACAATTGGTAGAGTTGATATCGCGACACTTTGAAGATACCTTGGAAGACCACATAAATCTCCAAAATTACAAGGACATTGACAGCTTATGTCAATTTTTGCAAATGAGAGAATCACGTAGGCATGAAAGAAGAGAAAGAAGACCGCAAGAAAATTATAGACAAAGAGAAAACCAAGAATATAGAGATAGAGGTCAAAATTTTAGAAGAGATTATCCAAGACGAGAATTCATACCTAGACGGGGATACGAAAATAGACCGAAAGGAAGAGAGAATTATGAACCCAGAACCCAGAGATGGAATGAAAACAGGGATCGGGAAAATCAGAGTAGAAATAACCGCCCATACCAAGGAAACAGATACAATAACCCACGGAATGAACAGGAATCTCGCGGTAACCGATACGGGAATGATAGACCAAAAGAGAACAGAAGAGAAATAAATAATATGCAAAGAGAAGAAAATGAATATGAGAGAGAAGATGACGGGCGAGAAAACACAGAAGAACAACAGGCGTGTTTTCAAGAAGGCGCTCACTAAAAACGAAGAAACAAACAGGAATTTTTTGTCACCCCAAGGAATTTATTAAACTGGCAGGAAACAATGAAAAGAGAAATGGAGTTAATTTAAAATTTGTGGATGGATTTATAAATGAGAAACCAATTAAAATTATGATAGACACAGGCTCTGAAATAACACTGGTCAACAGAAAATTAATCGAAGAAGTAAATTTAACAAGTCTAATTTATAAAATACCTAGGGTGAATTTAGTGGGCGCAAATAAACGGACATTGGCAACAATAAATGAAGGTATACGAGTAATGGTACGATTGAAAAAAAATATGTATGCACTTCAATGTGTAATAATGCCGAATATGTCACATGACATGATTGTAGGCGTTGACGAATTAACGGAAAAACATGTAGTGATCGACTTCAAAACCAATACGATGAAAATAACAAAGGAAAAAGAAGAAGAACAGGATAAGGAACAAGAGAAACAAATTACGGACGAATCAGAGAAAGAACAAACGGTGGAAATGAACCTGGTGACGAAGAAAGGAAAAGGAAGAAAGAGGGGAAAAGGTCAGAAAAAGATCAAAGAAAAAAAAACCTGGGATTCCTCAAAAGATGAGACGAGCTCAGGAGAAGAAGATGGAAAGATTTTGACAAGAAATGAAAGCAAAACTTGGGATTCCTCAAAAGAAGAGACGAGCCCAACAGAAGAAGAAACAAAGGAAATGAAAGAAAAGGAAAAGGATTCAGTTGAAAAGAACATATGGGATTCCTCAAAAGAAGAGACGAGCCCAACAAAAAAAAAAAAAAAAAACAAAGGAAAATGAAGAGGACACAATGGAGACAGTGGTGTTTGAAAAAGACACGGAGTACACGGTGAATATGTGCGAAGAATTTGATGGGAGAGACAAAAAATTGATATGTGGAGAAGGCAAAGAAAATGATTTGCGTAAAATTTTAAGAGACTATGAAACGCTGATAAATAAGGAAAACCGAGTGGCCACAAAATACGTAGCATAAGTACAGATAGCATACAGGAAGTGCGTTTTAGTTTGCCTCGAGAAAATTTAGTTGCATAGATTGATAAATTTTATCGATTGCAAAGGCGGGGATTTGTTGTACTTTTGAATGTCCATAAGCAATAAAAAACCGATCTACAAATTTTATTACTTAAATAAAAATTAAAATTATTGATATTTCATAAAGACACGGGCATATAAATTTTCAAACATCCTGTATAAGACAAAATATGTATTTTAAGTTGTTCGAAGAATTGTTCATTAGGCCTCAGAGACAAGACTTTCAAATATTATCGATAAGAAATTTAAATAAGTCGGTTATTGTGAAATGGATTTACCCGTAATAAAAGTGTATATAGAAAGTGTTTAAACAATAGACCGGGATGTGCGGTGGTTTTTCCCCCCGAAAGATTATATCGGTAAAAGTTTATTAACAAAAGACATTGAATTGAGAAACAGGTATCGTTTGTAGCTATTAGTAAGAAATATTTGTAAAGCAGATAGATTTAGTTAGAATAATTAAAGAATGTTGTTTTCTGGAATTACCCGAATGACGTTTTAATAGAGAGAGTTGGTTGATAACGATATACGTCACAGAGGTAGAAGATTTTTATTGGTCAATTTTTGAATGCAAGGAGGGGTGGTTTTGGCTATGAGATAGGAGAGAGGAAAGGAGTTAGTCAGTTTTCGTCGCCCAAGAAGGAAGGAGCTTTGTGGTTTGTGTTTGTTTGAAGTCCCGAAGACGTAATTTACCGGGTGTGTTTATTTGCGGTGTAAAAGCTGATGAGTGTGAGGAACGGGGTACAGAGAGATAGAAAAACCAAAAGGTTATAAGAATATTAATAGCAGACGAAGCCGGAAACATTTGAAGTTATAAACAGGCGCGGAGATTGGTTCAAAAGGAGGCTGCATAGAATTACACGAGTTGTTGGGTTGCAGATACAAGGACAGAGAGGAGAAAGGTGTACGTCTTCTGGACCAAAATAGGAGCAGAAGCAGAGAAAGGTTTTTTTTTATGGCGTGGCCATAGAATTGCAACGGCAGATAACGAAAGGTCAGTCAATTTTCATTAGAGCAGGAGTGTGGTTTTCATTTATAAATTAAATAAATTGAATAAATTATAGAGACAGTTAATTTTGCGATCATTTAAAAAAGAAAAAATTATAAAGAGAGCTTAGTTATAACACATATTAAAAATCAATGTAAAATAACATTTGGGTCCATGATAGAAAACAACTTCTCATATATTTAAAGTATTGTATTGCAAATATTACCGGATTGATTGTTATATAAAATTTCAATAAAATAAAGGACATCTCACATATACTTCAGTTAAAATTCTGTGTATTTTATTCAGGTCATATTACCTATCCCAATTAGGAAGCCAATTGGAAAATATTTTGAATCCACGATCAAAGGTAAATAGTACAAGTTAAATATCCTGAGATTGTAATTAATTAATGCTGATTTATTGTGATTAATTGGAGATTAGATCATTTAATAAATATAGACAGGATCTTTTCTAAATAAGCAATAGAATACAATTTAAATAGCATAACAATATATATATTTCCGTTTTAGGAGAAGATTTCCGGTGAAGCTTTAGGAGACATTCGTTCTACTTTCCGAGTTTGAATTTGTATCAGCCCAAGTGTCTGATGAGGCTGGGATAGGCCGAAATGAGTCATAACACTTTATTGATACCGATTCGAACACGGGAAGTTTAACGAATTTGTCCTCCTAGGCCATATATATGATCATTTAATACAAAAAACCGATAGCAGCTTTTACTAGATTTATTCTTTTACATATATATATATATATATAATATATATATATATATATATATATATATATATAATATATATATATATATATATATATATAATATATATATATATATATATAATAGTAAAGTACATCGGAAGGAAGAGTACAAGAGTATTCTGTATAAAATTTCGCAACAGGGCGATCCGAACAGATGTTTAAATAAAGCAATTCCACATTCCTTTATTAATCCAATCCGAAATTTTTTCCACCGACCTCGTAGAAAGAGTTTAAAGATAGCGCAAAATAATGTGTGAGTGTGCGACTGAGAGCATCCAAGAGACTTTTTCAGATAGTCATCTCTCAAATCTATTTAAACACTTGCAAAGTTGGCAAGTGGTTCACATTAAACGTTTTTCGTCGAAAATATTTTCACTCTACCTGTAGTTTGGTTAAGTTAGTCGCTATACGACTCCAACACGCTAAGTGATGCATCTGCCGGCTTTAAGACATAATTGAGAAAAGTGTTAAAAAAATTTCCACAATTTTTGCGACAAGTGATAACCCCGATATTCAGTGCGGAACGAAAAGTGAGTTTCATGCCAAATTATAGCACTTTTTGAAGATGAACTATTTCCGCTTCGAGTTATATTTGTTTTAGCGTTTATTTTTAATTAATATCACAATTTTTGCTCTTTAGTTTTAAAACAGGAACGTATCTAGGCTTTTTGTCCTAAATATATACAATTGGCTTTTGCCTTTTTTAATGTTTACAATAAATTTTGTTGTTTTGTCATTCTTTTTTAACTTTTGAAATATTTGATGAACATTACCCGAAATTTTTGTTGGTATTATTTTTTTCACATTATATATATATATATATATATATAATATATATATATATATATATATATATATATATATATAAAGAGTGGACTAAAAGTTTGGGAAACGCCTAATTATCTCTTAAAAGGATGGTCCGAATTATAAAAAGCAGGATTACACCTATTTTGCAATATGAAGATATAAAATTTGATGTTTGTAACGTTGCCAGATTTACCATTTTTCTGATATAATTAGTCACTTTGGTTTGTTTAAATATAACAGCCTGTATATTGTACCTTTATTGAAATCTCCACTTCAACCGTATACAATACTTTCGATTTTATGTAGTCTAACAAAAGCCTGGAAACGTCTAATCGTCTCAATATATTTTGTTATTCAAACTATGTACTAATCGTCTTCTTCTTTTTTGTATGTAGGCATAAAGCCTGTTTTTCTTCAATATTAGCCTCCTAAATTATTTAAATTATCGCACCATATTTTTCTTGGTCTGCCAAATACTTCTTCGTTAATTTGGTGACTATATCGTGCTAGTCGTACTATCTATCCTCTGCCATTCTACTAATATGTTCGTTCCACTCCTGTTTCAGTTTTGTCACCCATCCATTTGTTTTCTATATAGTACGCTCTTCTTATGTTTTCGCTTCTCTCCCTATGCAACAGATTTAGCCTCATATTCGTCGGAGTATTTTCATCTCTGTTGTTTCTAGAAGTCGTCTCGTTTTAAATGTGTGGGGCTTGTCTCCGCTGTATATGTTAATATAGATCTAATTGCTGCTTTATATATTCTTGTTTTTGTGTCTTGTCTTAGGTATTTGTTCTTCCAGATTATGTCATTAAGAGATCCCGCCACTTTACTTGCTTTTAAGCTTTGTTGTGTTACTTCTTCTTCAACATCTCCGTAACTAGTTACATCTATTCCGAGATATCTAAACCTTGCTTCTTGCTTTATTATTTTCCTATCAATTTCAATTTTACATCGTAGTGGATATTTAGATGTTGTCATACATTTGGTTTTTCTGCTGATGTTTAAGATTTGTGTTAATCTTTGGAGCTCGTCTTCTATCTCGGCGATTAATGCGGCGTCGTCTGCATAACATAATATTTGGATTTCTTTGTTCCCCATTCTGTAACCATGACCTTTACGTACTGCTTGTATTATTTCGTCGATTATTATATTAAAGAGAAGTGGGCTTAATGAGTCACCCTGTCTGACTCGCTTTGTACTGGTATACACTGTGTTAGTTTTCCATTTATCTTTGCCTGTATTCGATTATGGAACTAGATGTTTTCGATGGTTTGCATAATATTGATTGTTATGTTTCTTTTATACAGTAGGTGCAAGACGTCTTCGACTTGGATGCGACCGAAAGCCTTTGTCAGATCTATAAAACATAGATATGCTGGTTTATTATACTCGATAGCTTTTTCTGTGATTTGTCTTAGTACAAATACGGCGTCTACGCAGGATCTTACGGATCTGAATCCTTGTTGTTCATCTGATAAAGTTGTTAGTTTATTGATTTTGTTAGTTAGGACTTTTGTAGTGAACTTAAGTGCGGTGTTCAGTAGATTTATACCTCTTTAATTGTTGGGATCTTCTTCATCTCCTTTCTTAAACATTGGTATTATTATGCTGTTTCTCCATGCGTCTGGTATCTTGCGGTACAATATTAGTTTTGTATAAGTTTTGACATCTCTAGGGTTATACTTTCTCCTCCGTGTTTTAAAAGCTTGTTGGTTATTCCGTCTGGTCCTAGTGACTTTCTACTTTTGAGTGAATTTATAGCTATCTCTACTTCCTAAAAACTAATTTCTATTTCGTGTCTTAATTCAGATACGTTATTGTGTTGATTATTATTTTCTATTCCTTTAAATAGTTCCGTCAGGTATCTTTCTTATTCGTTTGCTGGTATGTTATTGTATTCCTTCAATTTTGCCATTTCTTTCCATTGGTTTCTTATAAATCTCCATATTTGTTTTTGTCTACCGTAGAAGTCGCCTTCCATCCTTTTTGCCAACTGTTCCCAGTGCTCATTTGCTTTGTTACATTTCGTATTCTTCTATGGGTGTCTCCGGATTCTGGTGTATTTGATATTTTGTACTTCGTGTAGGCCCCTCGTTTCTCTTTACATTTCTCTTTTATTTCTTTTCTGAAGTATGGCGTATTGTTGTTGTTTCTTTTGTTCAGTATGATTTTGCGTTTTCCTGGAACTTCTGTTGCTGCTTCTCCAATGTTGTTTCTAATTTTCTCCCAGCTCGCGTTTATATCTTTGATGTCATCTAATTGTTCCAGCTGTATCTTGTGTGTTAGCCTCCTTTGGTACATTTCTCTTGTAGAGTCAATCCACAGTGATTCTACATTGAATTTTTCCTCGGTGATTTCCTGCAGAAAATGTTTTGGTGTTATTCTCATTCTTATTTTTGCTAGTACTAGTTTGTCTATGTACTAATCAAGTGTTAATCCTTCGTTATTAATTTGACAGCCTAAACAATGGTAGAATGCGTCTTTTACAAGTCTCCATGTTTCTCTTAAAATTAATATGGATTTATTGATAGTGCTTTGCTTTAGCTCTACAACACATGCTGGTTTAGTTTTGAAATCTACTTTTCAAGTATTCATAATAAAAATAATCTTTAGAATTCAAATCTGGTTTTTCAATACTGCATTGACTGCATTGATTTCCTTTATGAATTGTGTCATTGTGGCGTATATAAGATACATGATTATTAGTGGTTATTTACAAGCAATATGTTGTCTATAGCTATTTGAATGTCTATTAAAACTGTCCACTTTAATATTAGGTTTCAAAGTTGGCAAACCATATTAAAATTCTTGCTGTTTCGATTATTATTAAGATTAATGATCCTCTTAAAATTATCACGGAGAAAGTCAAGATTGCGTTGTCAACAAGTCACATTTGTGTAATAAATTATTATTTTGTTGCCAAATAAATGTTATAATCAATAATATTACAGTAATATATTTTCTGAATTAACTGTTTAATACAGATTTTTTAATTAATTGCTTTTTTTGGACGCCATCTATGACTGACATTTCTGCCATGCAAACTGACATTTCTTTGTGATACCAATTTTAGAATACTAGAATTCTGTACTAGCTTGTACAGCTCTAGTGGATGCGTACAATATGTTTTTAGAGTCACTTGCGATCACCTGCGATCTTATGACCCGCAGTCATGCAAGATATGGTTGACTATTTTATGTTCTCTGTTATAAAGTCTGCAGCATAAATCTTCATGAAACAATCTCAATGCACGCAGCTGTCCCTTGATAAGCGCATGTACAATACGTTATTAAGGAAGTTCGTTATAAATATACTTCCCAGTGAGAGTTATGTTGTCGACATATCCAGGCTTTTTATTCCGGAAGGCGTTTTTTGGCGCTCTTATGGTCGGCTCTGAAAAAAGAGTATTTTCTATCTGATCTTTTTCTGGCAAATTCATTAGTTCTATCATTGTCATGTATTCTGCGGTGATTTGGAACCCATATCAGTGCGACACTATTATGTTGCACCAATATGACGAATTATCAACATTTACACACTAGCCTAGATTTCACTTTAAGGCTTCAAAACCCTCATGGCTGCTTGACTATATGTGTAGATATATATTATTCTGCTTTTCATATACTACTGAATATTCCTACACTCGACCTTTCTGCGGTTTTAGACCCATTTGTCAATCAAGCATGATCCTTCACTCTAGTCAGTCTGGGTTGTGTGTTTCCTGTACGTTATCCCCCTCGTAAGCATATATCGACTTGGAAGGATATTTTAGATTTTGGGTACCAAATGATCTCTATTCGATATGGTTTCATTCATTCATTATTTCCTGATCTACCCATTATGTTGCTTAATTTTTCTCGCAGTCTATAATATCACATTCTCACCTTCCCCTTATTGCAAGGTGCATAGGAGTGAGGTCCAATAGGGCCTCTACAGCTGCTAGTGGTATACTCTTCAGACCAGGTATGGTAAATTATCATAATATATCGTCCTTTACCAATATAAATTGAAAATTTATCTTTTCTTTTCCCTCCTTACGTGTTTATCTAGATATATACCTATAGTTAATTGTATGGTTCCTTAATTGTATGGTTGCCTTGGTAACGTGCTTCTGAAAGCTTTTCTATATACATTTGGAGTTTTTAATTGCTGGTGTTCGATCGAATGCACATATCGTAGTTTGAGCATTTTTGTTATATGTAGCACTCTTGACCATTCTTCCTACAAAACCAAATAGGCCAAGGGGCGTATTGTTTGTTGCGAAATAATATCATATTTTACGTATTATTTTTTATTAATTTTTGTGTAAATAACTAAAATAACACTCAAATATAAATAACTCAAGACTACTTTGTAATTTCTTCTTAATAAAAATAAACTCAATAACGCAATAGTGAAAAATATGTCTTTTAATGAAAGGCGAAATTGTTTCAGTGAAATTTCATTCTATTATTTTTTCACTATATTATAATGTACCGGGTGGTCCAATAAGCCGATCTCTCGGCTATATATCAGAAACTATTCATGTTATAACTTTAGGAGAAAAAATTTCTTAGTAAAAGTGGCCAAGAGAAATCGCTGGAAATAACTTTCAAGTTTCTGGGTTAACCGCTAGGGGGCGTAACCTGTGAAGAAAACTTTGAAAACCAGTTTTTTGGGAAATATGCCCAATTATACCAAGTGTTAAATAAGTAAACTAGAAAGAGGCCTAAATTCTGC